TCTCTCTCTTTCTCTCAAATAAATAAACTCTTAAAAAAAAAAAAAGGAGTGGGAAAAGCAGAGTCCTCTTCTTATTCCAGATCTTAGGGAGGAAATGTTCAGTTCTTTGCCATTAAGTATGATGATTAAAGACCTAGCTATATAGGTCTTTGAATAGATGTCCTTTATCAAACTAAGGAAGTTCCCTTCTTCTGGTTTGCTGAGAGTTCTTGTCAGGAATGAATCTTGAATTTTGTCACTTTTTTTGTATTATTTGAAATGATCATGGAGTTTTTCCTCTTTCATATATTAATATGGTGGATTGAGTTGACTGAATTTCAAATGTTTAACCAGCTTTGCACCCCACTTCGTCACGATGCATTATTGCTTGTATGCATTGTTTACTTGATTTGCTAGTATATTGTTGAGTGTTTTTGCATCTGGGTTTGTGAGGGATATTTGTATGTTGTTTTATTTTTTATGTTGTTAGGTGCCTGGTTTTGCTGTCAGGGTAAAGCTGCATCATGATGTCAGTTGGGAAGCATTTCTCCTCCTCTATTTTCTGAAAAAGATTGTGTAGCATTGGTAGTATTTCTTCTTTAAATATTCACAAAATTCACCAAGGAAGCTGTCTTATCTGGAATTCTCATTCTCAGGATTTTCACCATGAAGCCAATTACTTTAAGACAACAAGGATTGTTCAGGTTCTCTGTTTCTTCTTGGATGAATTTTGGTAGCTTGTGGCTTTCAAATAATTGATCTGTTTCATCTAAGTTGTCGAGTGCATGCGCACAGAGCGGTCTGTAACATCTCCTACTGTCTTTTTAGTGTCTGTGGGGACAGTCATGATGTCTCCTTCCTCCATTACCAGAATTGGTCACTTAACCTTCTCTCTCTCTCATCAGTCTGGTTAAAGGTCTATCAATTTTATTGGTCTTTTCAAAAACAGTTTTTAGTTTCACGGATTTTTTTCTTTATGGTCTTTCTGGTTTTAATTCCATGGATTTCTCTTATGTTTATTATTTCTTTCCTTCTGCTTGCTCTCAGTTTACATTGCTCTTCTTTTTCTAATTTCTTAAGGTGGAAGCTTAGATTGTTGATCTCTAACTTTCCTCTGTTTCAAATATAAGCATTTATTTCTTCTTTCTAATTAAATGCTAACATAATATGTTTTCCTCTGAACACTACTAAGTTTTGATATGTTGTATTTCTATTTTCATTCAGTTTAAATAGTTTCTAATTTTTCCAAGATATCATCCAGGATGTGTGGGTTATCTAGATGTGTCCTGCTTAGTTTCCACATATTTGGGAATATTTTTGTTATTGTTTTCTAGTTTAATTCCATTGTGAGTTTTTTGTTTTTGTTTTAAGTTTGTTAAGGTGTGTTTTATGACCCAAGGTCTGGTCTGCCTCAGTGAGTGCCCATTAGTGCTCAAGAAGGACGTGCACTTTGATATGGTTCAGTATAGCGTTCTACAAATGTCAGCTGGGCCGTCTTTGCTCCTGGTATTGTCAGTCCTTCCACGGCCTTACTTGTTTTCTGTCAACCTTCTTATCAGTTACTGAGAAAGGTCTTGTTAGTCCTGAATTGTGTCTCCCTACCGCCCCCCCGAATTTATATGTTGAAATCCGAGCCTCCAGTGTGGCTGTATTGAGAGATGGGCCTCCGAGGAGGTAATTAAGGTTAAAATAGGTCAGGAGGTAGGGTCCTAACATGATGGACTGATGTGTTTATAACTGAAGGAACAGACATCAGATACCTCTCTGCATCCCTATATCTCCACGCAAGCCCAGAGGAAAGGCCCCTGAGAGGACACAGTGAGAAGGAGGCTGACTGCAAGCCAAGGACGGCACTCTTACCTTGACCTCAGACTTCCAGCCTCCAGGACCGTGAGAGAGAAACCATCGTGCGAGCCTCCTGGCCTGTGGTCTCTGGTGCAGCTGCCTGAGTGGACAAGTTGGGGCAGGGTCTTGCCTGCTTCCCCTTCCCAGCCTATCAGCCTGTTTCCTGTATTTTACTGCTCTGTTAGTAGGGCATACCAGTTTAGGGCCACTGTGTCTTGGTGAACTGACTGCATTATCATTAGGTGATGTTTCTCCTTATTGCTCTAAAGTCCACTTTGTAACTTCAGTTTTTTAAATGGCTGCTTGCTTGGCATATCTTTTTTTATTCTTTTATTTTTCATCTACCTATATTTTTATATTTTTTGTAGATGCATGTAGGTAGGCTATGTTGCTTTTATCCAGTCTAACAATTTCTGTTTTAATTGGTATGCTTAGATGATTTACACCTATCTTAATTATTGATACATTTGAATTTAGATCTACCACTTATGCGTTCCATTGTATGTTCTCTATTTATATCCTTTGTTTTTCTCCTTTTCTTCCCTTTCTTGCCTTCTTTTGCATTACTAGAATATTTTTTAGTATTTTGTTTTGATTTAGCTATTTTTTTTTGTTTTACTCTATGTCTTTGCAGAGCTTCTTTAGTGGTTACTCTAGCAATTACAATATAGATATTAACTTCTCACTCCACTATTCAATCTACTTAGAATTAATATTTTACCACCTCAAGTGGGATGTTAGACCCCATCACCACAGGAAGAAATAGAAAATCTGAACAGACTGATAACCAGCAAAGACATTAAATCAGTAATAAAAAATCTCCCAACAAACAAAAATCCAGGACCAGATGGTCTCAGAGGTGAATTGTACCAGACATTTTAAGAAGAGTTCATACCTATTTTTCTCAAACTATTCCCAAAAATAGAAGAGGAAGGAAAGCTTCCAAATCCATTCTGTGAGGCCAGCATTACCCTGATACCAAAATCAGATAAAGATACCACTAAAAAAGAGAACTGCAGGCCAATATCCCTGATGAACATGGATGCAAAAATTCTCAACAAAGTACTAGCAAACTGAATCCAACAATACATCAAAAAATTAACTTATCATGATCAAGTGGGATTTATTTATGGGATGCAAGGGTGGTTCAATATTCACAAATCAATCGATGTGCTACATCACATCAAGAGAAAAGATAAAAATCATATGATCCTTTTAGTAGATGTAGAAAAAGCATTTGACAAAGTACAACATCCAGTCATGATAAAAAAACCCTCAAAAAAGTAGGTTTAGAGGGAACATACCTCAACATAATAAAGGCCATCTTTGAAAAACCCACAGCAAACATCATCCTCAATGGAGAAAAACTGAGAGCTTTTCCCCTAAAGTCAGGAACAAGACAGGGATGTGCAGTCTCACCACTGTTATTCAACATAGTACTGGAAGTCCTAGCCACAGCAATCAGACAAGAAAAATGAATAAAAGACACCCAAATTGGTGAGGAAGAAGTAAAACTGTCACTATTTTCAGATGACATGAAGCCTCATCACCACATGGATCCCTCTAAATTTACTCTTCATGTGTGGTCGCTGTGTGTATTACACCCATATGCATTGAAAACCCTACTAACGTTAGAACAGCCATCAGAGCCGCGAAAATCAGCAGGCGTGAAGAGGAGAAATAGCCCACTGCACTCATGCAGAGATCTACTGCTTCTCTTGTTCTTCCTCCTGGACGTTTGACTTTCCCTCCGGCACCATCTCTTTCTGCCTAAAGGGCCCCTCCTACGTCCTTCAGAGCAAGCATGTTGCAACACGTGCTAAGAGTGCTTCTCCTCCTGAGAGTGTCTGTCTTTCCCTAATTCCTGAAGGATGCTCCTGCTGGACATACAACTCTGACTTGGTGGCTCTTCTGGTTTCATGTTTTAAACATGTTCTTCCATATGTTCTAGTCTCCATGCTGTCTGATGAGAAATCCACCTTGTTTGAATTATCGTTCCCCATGGGGATGTGTCATTTAATTAATTAAATTAAGTAATTTAAATAAACTCTCTTCTCTCACAAACGTTCTATTGAACCCCTGCCACCTGTCACCTCCTGGACACGGCGGGAAGCAGAGCTCCGTCCAGGCTGAGGCAGACATGCAATAGATGCTTGGAAATCTCTCCTGCTTCTGGATAGGCTTCCTTTATTGATTATTGCAAACGTTTTGCTCATATGCTAAGATCGCCACTGCTCTTCTCTTACCTTCACTGTGGGACAAAAACCTCCTCTACAGTTTGTGGAAAATACTGAGACCATGATTCTTCATTCATTCTTTAAGACAGCATTTATCTTCCCAAGAAATTTTTCAGTTTCTCCTTACAGACAAAGGTTGTGCTTTTTTCTTGGAAACTATGCAGGTCAGACATGAATTGGAGACACACATTCTGATCCCAGCCCTATCGCCATCATTGTGTCTTTATATCTGGACAAGCTTCTGCCCCTCTCTGGAAGGCCAGTTCCTTGTGAGGCAAAAGATGGAAATTAAACAGGGTAATTATTAAGGTCTTGCTTAGATAGATGACTTGCCCAGTATATGACTTCTTGCTACAACCTAAGAAACACAGCAGGCGGCAGGTAAATGTTTATTGACAGTGAAGAAAATTCACCTCACTGTGCCTCCTTTGCTGGTGGCAGCCTCCTGATGGCCCCACATGGTCCCACTCCTGGTTTCTTGCCCCATGTGGCTGCGTTTTCATCACACGGGTCCGACTGTGTGGCCAGCAGCCGTGAAGGGGTGTCACCTCTGAGCAGGGCTGATGAGACAATGTTTCCACCCCCGGTGCCCTCTCTCGGACTCTGGGAGATGCTCCAGTGGCATCTGGAAAGGAGCTGGTGCCTCCTGTCAAATTCAAGCAAGTGAGCTTGGAAGTGGACCTCCCAGCCCCTGGCGGAGATGAGGTCACAGTTGCAACCAAGAGCTGGGTGGCCACCCCACAGGAGCCCTGAGCATCCAGACCACCCAGCTGGACTGCCCCCATTCTCAACCACAGACACTGTGAGATGTTTGCTGTTTCAGGCTGCTAGGTTTTAGGCTGACTGGTTATGCAGCAACAGACTAGCACTACTCTTCTGGGCAGGATGATGTGGGTGGAGCTGAGACAGTGGTTTGAGTTCTGTGAACAGTAGCTCTTGTCCTCTCTCGGGTGTGAGCGATGACTTAGGAGTTGTCTTTCTTCAGAACAAAAACACTGTTCCTAACTGCATTATTCATGACTCAGCAAAGCAATGGCATGACTGCATGACGAGGATGTAAGACCCCGGCATCTCAAGGAGGGGCACAGAGAGTAAAATCCTGCTGAGCCTGACGTTTCTGAAGATGCTTCCCGAAGGCTTGGACCAGACACCATGGAACCATACTCTCTCCTCCTGAAGGTGGAAATCTTCACACTGGTGAATCACAAGATAAACCCCATGAGCATGTTGACTGCTGTGGGGAGGTGGACGCCAAGACCAGCGCATTCCCTCGGCGTTCCGACCAGGAGGGATGTGGGTCCCTGCTGTTCCCATGGGCATTGGCTGCAGAGTGAGTCACAGGTTGCTCAGCCCAGCTCCCCCTGGGCAAGTTGCGGGTGATGTTTTGTGCACTGGGGTGGGGGTAGGGGGGGCCTGGAATGGGTGTGGTGTCTCACTTTCACTGCAGGGTATGGCTGAAAGTATCATTATTATTTTTAAATCGACTCTCTACAAACATTTTGCAGCATTTCTGAAGTAAATAGGTCACAGAGCAGCAGTACAATAAGGATGACAGTGGGGGTCCTGCAGGACAAGAGGCAGGTGGGGAGGGCTCTGTGGTCAGTGGAGTTTGGGAAACAAGGCTCCTTCTGGAAAGATGCACCGCACACACCCAGGGAGCTCTGCAGCAGAGACTTGCCTCACCCTGCTCAATCCACACATAGCTAATGCCCAAGACCACTCACTCCAGAGAAGAAATAATTGAGAACAGTTACTATGTGGAATGGTTGCCATGGAAATGATTCTGTGCCCATGTTTTTCCTGACATCTAACTAAGGTAGAGAGAGAAGCTTGAAATAGTTTCCCTTGGTGGGAAAAAAAATAAAAGCAGAGATAGGAAAGTCTTCTTCCCCAACAGGAAGAAGAGTTTGGGTTTCAGGCAGCTGACGAGGGGTCATCTCAACTTTGTCATTTTCTTTCAGCTTTTACTCTTGGAGAGCAGAGGACATCAAGGCTTGTTGGGACCTCAGGTTATGCAGAAGGTTTCAGCTCCCAGTTACCATCCTGGGTGAGTTGCAGGGTCCAAGGCTTTGGGGTAGAGGCAGACCCGCTGGTCAGCTCTGGTGGCACCCTCAGGGAGGACGGCTTCGGTGTCCCACACCACAGCTGGGCTGTCTGCCTCGCAGTAGCGTGTCTCATGTGACTTTGTACTTTGTGGAGTTTTGTGAGGAGTAATTGAGCTAACACGTGTCCAGCTCTTGAAACAGTGCCTAGCAATATGTTAGCTATCGTGTGTATTTCTTTAAACTTTTCTCCAATTTACCTCCTTTCCAAAAATGATAATTAAGCACACACACACTAGAATTGAGACAACACAGAGGTTAGCACAGCCTCGTGCCAGGGTGCAAGCATGGCTATGCATATCCCACATTCATGTCCATGGGATGACGTGCACCTCCAGGGCATAAGCAAGGTGTGCCCTTGGTTCCCCCCAGAAATCACACCTTCCTTCTTTACCTATTCACTGTGCAACTGACCGGAGCAGCTGGTGGTCACCACACACCAAACAACAGCACCGTGAACCTGAGGACGATCTCCAGAAAGCACGTTAAAGAAGGAAAGGAAAAGGTATCAGAGCAGGTCTGTCCCAGACAGGAACAGACTTGCAAGCAGGACAAAGTCGCCCACACACACACGTGTATCTGTGTGTGCAGGTGTTTGTGCAATTGTGCTTTGAGAATAGAAAATGTCTGATATTTAACATAGAATACCCAAATACAAACTCTGAAACGCGCTTGCAGACACCGCCCACCACACCCAAGGCCTCCCTGTGTCACATGCAGCCATCCTACTTTCTGTTAGGGCCAGAATTCCTGAGCACCTGTGTCTGGGCCCTGGACAGATGTGGAGCGCCCTGTGTCTGTGGGCGCGTGCGGGGCTGAACTGTGCTCAGCGCCGCGGTGATGGAGGGTTTCCTGCCATAGCGCTCTGATACCTTGCAGAGCGCAGTGCCGTGTCCCTGAAGGTTTTCTGTGTGATGACACGCCTGGAGACTCATGTGAGTCATGCTCCCACGAAAACATAGCAATTTTAGGGGCTGACAAAACAATGAGTCCACAAGAGGCATTTTCTAGGAGGTAGTGGGGGAGCCCTAACACCAGGACTTGAGCCTGGCTGCACCCCAACTCTGATCATGGGCAAATTACCCAAACATATAATGTCCACACACCGTGTAAGCCCACTCTCTAAAGACCTGAGGGTACGTGAGATCATCACCGGCCTGTTTGCTGTAAGATAACGCTTCCTCCCCTTCTTGAGCTGGCGTTCCTCCTCAGAATGGCGGGCGGAGCCCACCCCATGTTTCACCACCTCGTCTGGGTGATGCCCTAGCACCTTCATGGGCCTGGGTCTCTACAGAAACAGCATCCCTGCCATCACTGGGCAGCAAACGCTCCCACACAGACCTGGGAAAATACCTTAGTCATCAGAGAATTATAAGATTGAAAGAGAAATCTGAGAGGAGATGAAGGTGAAAGGAAAATACTAGAAAGAACCAGGGGATAAGCCTGAGGGTGAAAAGTGGCCGAGGGGTGGGCGGGCTGGCGGTGGCCAGGAAGTGGGGAGTGTCAGGTTCTCTCCCGTGGGGGGTCTCCCCACTCTTTACCCCCGGGGGGGAAATTGGGAACTGTGAGATTGAGTCCAATGGTTAAGACAGATGTCACTTCCTGGAATGACGCTCTTCCAAGATGACCTGGAGAAGCGGATAGAGTTCTGTGCAATCCCCTCAGGCCCTCGCCACCACTGAGCAGCACCACCAAGGACGACCTTTCTGTCCAGGTCACGCCCCTGAACCCTGGAAGGGGCAGTGTGCCTGGAACACTTTCTAAAATAAACAAGTTTAGGGGCGCCTGGGTGGCTCAGTTGGTTAAGCGACTGCCTTCGGCTCAGGTCATGATCCTGGAGTCCTGGGATCGAGTCCCGCATCGGGCTCCCTGCTCGGCAGGGAGTCTGCTTCTCCCTCTGATCCTCCCCCATCTCATGCTCTCTCTCTGTGTCTCATTCTCTCTCTCAAATAAATAAATAAAATCTTTAAAAAAAAAAAAAAAGAACCTATTCTTAAAAAAAAAAATAAAATAAAATAAAATAAAATAAACAAGTTTAATTATGAAAGCTTTTAACATACACAAAGGTAGAGAAAAGAGTATCACAGATACCCACACACTTAACACCTTAATTTAACAATTTAACATTTTGTTATTTTTGCTTCATTTACTATTTTGGTCAAAGGATTTTAGTCAACTGACAGAGATCTTGGCATTTTACCCCTCAGTACTTCAACAGGCATTTCTAAAGAATTAAGCCAGTTTCCTGTGGAACCCAGCACCGCGGTCACCCTCCACCACAGAGCTCCCCGTGGAACCCAGCACCGTGGTCATACTCAACCAAATAAATACAATCCCTCAGGTCATCCAGCATCTAGTCCATGTCCACATCTGCCAGTTGTCCCAGGAACTATTATCTACTATCCAATCAAGGCGTGGCTTCTACTATCCGGCATGTAGTGCATTTGCCATTTGTGGAGATGGTGGTTCATTTACTTTTATCCAGAGAAACACAAGAAGAAAATAAGAGCAGACCATGATCTCCCTGTCCAGAAACTGCTATTTTTATTTTTGGAAAGTAATAAAAGTGATCAGTGTGTTAGATGAGGAGATCAAACCACGGAGGAGTGACATGACACTCTTTGGCGCGCACCAGCCCTCTTGCAAGGCCAGCCCCACAGAGCAGATCTTGTCATCCGCCCTCCAGAATGCATGTGTGCAAGACTCACACATCTGTGTGTGTGTTTTCTCCTCCTTCCGCACCAAACAGCACCACACTTACCTCTGCAACTGGCTTTCCTCGCAAACCAAAGTGGCAGAGGAAGCAGTCCTGGGTTTCCACCCATGGCTTCCACAACAGTGTCAAAGTAAGTTCTGTCAGCAGCTTGAAAATTTACCTTAAAAAAAACAAACACATCAGGGTGCCTGGGTGGCCGTCAGTTAAGCGTCCGACTCTTGGTTTCGGCTCAGGTCATGATCTCGGGGTCATGAGATCAAGCCCAAGTCTGCCTGAGATATTTCTCTCCCTCTCCCCACCCTAGCACTCTCTCTGTCTCTCTCTTTCTCAAATAAATAAATAAATATTTTTTTAAAAATTTAAAATACTTTTAAAAAATTTTTAAAAATGAACACATCATTCCAAGAGGTAACACACAATGCTATTAAGTCACACAGAGACTTTGGGTTGACAGTCTGCTAAAAAAGTACAATTATAAATGGCGTACATATATGACTTTCCTCAAATCCCAACCGTTCACCTGTTCACTCAGCTCCTCCACCATGTTTTCCAAAATGCCCAGAGGTTTCACACCTTGTGCACCAGAGCTTACCTCATGAAAGACATCGCTGTATTTATCCTCTTCCTGCTTTTTAATTCTGTAGCAAACAAGAGCATAATACCCGTGTGAAGGTTCAGGAATTGGAAATATTAAGTCTCAGCAGAAATGAAAGAATTAAGAGCAAGGAAGGGAGCACTATACGTGTGGTGTCACATGAACGCCCTAACAAGGCAGAGCAAATGTAAAGAAACCTTTAAACACATAATGAGACTGGCTGAAATTCAAAACAGGGCAGAGTTTATCAAAGGAAGAAACTGCCCACCAACATGAGGATTACAACAAAAGGTCAAAGTATTTGCTCATACGCTCAGTTGACTCTTGTGTTCCTTGTTCTTTGGACCTGAGATGGTTGTAGGTTTTAATCTGATGATCTTGATTGCTGAGAGCCTTTCTCTTGCATGGAGTTGGAATTTTGGTGAATGCTCTTTCTGTTCCTATTGCGATATTCGCGTAGTTCTCTCCTTTATTTTGTCAATATGGTGAATTCCATTGATTTGACTTTCAGATACTAACCCAACCCTGCATTCCCAGAAAAACCCTATTTTGTCATGATGTATTACTTTTTTTTATATATTACTAGGTTCAACTTGCTAGTATTTTGTTCACATTTTTTGCATCTCTTTTCATGAAGGATGTTTCTCTGTAATTTTTCATACCTTATAATGTCTTTGCCAGGTTTTGACATCAGAATTAAGCTGGCCTCATAAAACAAGTGGGGAAGAGTTCTCTTCTCCCTAGTTTTTGAAGTATTTTGTGAAATATTGGCATCATATCTTCATTAACTATTTGATAGAATTTACCTTTGAAGTGCTCTAGCTCAGGTGTGGTCTTTATGGGAAGGCATTTGATAACAAATTTAATTTCTTTACTAGACATAGGGCTGTCAATAATAGTGTTTAGTCCATTAAAGTTCTCTCCTAAAAAAATAGGGCTATTCAAATTTTCTATTTTACCTTGTGTCAATTTTAGTAAGTTGTGTTAAAAGCATGTATTACACAAGTTGTCAAATTTATCAGTATAAAATTATTCATAATGTTATAATATTATGCTATTAAAATATGTAGAGTTTGTAGTGATATCTTCTCATACATTTCTGGTATTGGTAACTTATGATTGTTTTTCCTTTGATCAGTCTTGCTAGGGCTTTATCACTTTTATTAATCTTTTCAAAAAACAACTTTTGCCTTTATTGACTTCTCTGTCAATTTCTCTGTCAGTTAATTGTTATTAATTTCTCACCTTTATAACTTTTTCTTCTATTTCCTGCTACTTAATTTGGATTTATTTTGCTCATTTTTCAAACTTCTTAAGGTGGAATGTTAGATCATTTGTTTGAATTTTTTTAATGTGCACTTACATAATTTTTAAAAAGATTTTATTTACTTATTTGAGAGAGAGACAGAGAGCACAGGAGGGGAGAGTGAGGCAGAGGGAGAAGCAGACTCCCCGCTGAGTAGGGAGCCCAACACAGGGCTGGATCCCAGGACCCCGAGATCACGATCTGAGCCAAAGGCAGACACTTAACTGAATAAGCCACCCAGGCACCCCAACATTTATATAATTTTTAGTTATAATTTTCCCTCTAAGCTCACTTTCACCTTATCTTTCAAATTTTATTTGTTATATAT